CCATTGAAATGTGCGGGAGGATGGGGATGTGCATGGGTACTTGTTTGTGGGCACAATTCGCACAGCAGGTTGTCTTATGTAATTATTTGTCAAATTCACACTGAGCACAACAGTGTGGGGGCCATCCACTAACGAGCCACTGACACACGGCAACCGCAGAGTCGCCCAACCACCCACTGCCCAGGGCAATCAATCAACAGCTGGCTCATTATGACAATCGAAGTATAGATAGAATTGTCGGAAAGCGGAGCATAAAGAAATAACAAAATATGATGTAGCCCATTGTATATGATTAGACCTGGCAAATTGCTTAGTCAACTGGGTCCGAAAATCCCAACTTCCGCCCGGTTCCGGCAATCGGAAATAATTATCTAAAATTTGTGACAAATGCGGCGGCAGATAAGATTAAAGTTGTGATGCGTGTTGAATTTGTCGCAGTCGCCAAAAAGTATGCAGCAGTTCATGGGGTTAAATGCCATCCTATTAGCGACCTTTCAGCATCGACATTTTTGTTTCATTGGCCCCATAAATCGCCAATGCATTATGTTGCCAACATTATTCATTCGACATGGTTGTATTTAGTTTTTACAATCGTTTATTTCGGTTGATTAATATTACACTCTTTATTGGTAAATTATGTGTTAATATAAATAAAGTTTTTTTTTTTACATTTTTTGCTCTTTCATAAAAACATTTTGGCAAAGTTTATGCGTTTGTTTAACATAAATATCAGTATATAAATTAACATCAAATAGAGGCTAATTGTGCATTTAGTATACATTAAATCAAGTCCAGGCAAATGCACTGAGTGGGAAGACCATTGATCAGACACACATTCACACGCACCACTAAATACTATATAAATGAAAGTTATTTGTCGGCTTGCCAAATTCCCCGATTCCCCGTTCGATTGTTCAGATATTGGCCATAGGCGGGGCCTTGCCTGGGTCTTACTCCCCGTCCAGATAAGAGCTATCTGGTTGTGGTTATAGTGACTGTGTTTGGGGCGCTGAAGGCTTTAAATCGGCTAGATTTATATACAATTAATTTTATTTGTCATACATTTCGCTGAGCAAGTTCTTTTTGCATTAGACCCAAACGTATGTGCAAACACAGGAAAAATTGTTTTGTAACAGAGCACTTGTTTTTAAACATATTGTGATCTTAAACTAGGGTTTTATTATAAATGTTTGTTCATTAAAATCTTATAATAGTTTTGACTACATTTATTCTCGATAATTAATTAATTTTTTTGTTTGTACAAACTTCAAACTTTCTTAAGTCCAAATGCAGAAAATTAAATTTTCTTAATTTGATCAAAAACGACAAGCAAATGCTTTTATCTATTTAAATTTGTAATACATTTTTTTTGTTGTAATATGGTATTACTCATATTCAACTCGATTTAAATATTTATACCAAACAAAATTTCCTATCCATGTAAATATGTTGTAAACTTTTAAACAGCCTACAGGTAAAAATTGTTTTAAAGTCTACTCAAAGGTAAATAAGATTTTTCTTTATTTTGAGTTGAATAAGTTCTTCCATAATTTTATTTTCCCGTGTATGCACAATATTATACTTATATGTTTATGTGTATATCTTCTTATGCGTGATCTGCCCCCCAGAGACCCCCCCTACCCCTTTTCTGGCTACTGCTCCCCCATATAAAGCTGACAATAAAAACAAAAATACGCTCACTCATTCACACACACTTGCGCCGCCCCACTCACACCCCAATCATACTCAGATACACCCTCACACTCACACTATCTGTAACTGTAAACCCAACAAAGCGAATGAATATGAAATTTTTGCACAGAATTTTGCGCTTTGTTCTCCAGTTTTTGGAGTTCCTCTCTGTTTTTCATTTTTGGTGGGTTCAACATTTTAGAGCAGGGCGCACTTGTGTCGCTTTGGACCTCGAACCACGGGGCACAGCACCGAGCGGATGGCCTCATCGAAGACCGTTTTCAACCCCTTTTGGGTTAAAGCCGAACACTCCAGATATTTGACCGCGGCTATCTCCTTGGCCATCGCCAATCCTTGGGGATAGGTAATGGGCGTCAGCTTCTTGTCCTTCAACTTCTCGATGGTCTGCTTGTCGTCGCGAAGATCCAACTTGGTTCCGACGAGGATTATGGGAACACTGGGGCAGTGATGACGCACCTCCGGGAACCATTTGGCCCGCACGTTCTCAAAGGAGGCCGGATTCACCAGTGAGAAACAGATGAGAAAGACATCCGTCTGGGGGTAGGACAAGGGCCTCAAACGATCGTAGTCCTCCTGGCCCGCAGTATCCCAGAGTCCCAGATTTATGGGCTTGGCATCCACCATCACATTGGCCGAGTAGTTGTCGAACACGGTGGGTATATATTCGCCGGGAAAGGCGTTGGTCGTATAGCTGATCAGCAGGCAGGTCTTACCCACCGCTCCGTCGCCCACAACCACACACTTGATGGCCTGCATTTTGTAGTGTAGTGGGTATCGATGGTAATCAGGAGCTCAAGATGCTTATTTATGCAGAGGGTTTTACAGTAGACCTGCAGGCTCTGTCGATTTCCAGAAGCTCAACTGGTTTTTTTTATGGTTTTGAAGCAGGTAGTTTGTTATAATGACTGGTAATCATTAAATTCAGTAGGTCAACAAGTTTTTTTTTCACTGAAGTTCTACTAAATCTTATTTAATTTTCTGCAGCTCTAGAACTTTTTTAGTTTCTAGTGATTTGTTTGGTTGATAATCAAGAAATTCAGCAGTTGTTTAGGAGTAATTACTAGGTTCCACACACTTAAACACAAATTTTAGTCATTAAATATTTTCTTTTTGCAAAATTTCGTAGCTTAGCCAGTATTTCTGATTTGTAGCTTTTTGTTCTCGCGTTGGCGTTTTTTGCTTTTATTATTTTTTTGGCGATTATACAATAATTTGCTCACGCAAAAATACAAATACAAATGCTGCCCACACAAACACAGATACAGGTAGAAAAGAGAGAGATGCGAATTGGAAATGGAGTTTAGTTTATCGCGAGAGTATTTCAATCAATATTCCTGATTGAATGCAGAACTGTGACGACGTTCTTCCTGTTTTGTCGGTTGCGGTGATATATGTATTTATAAATTAATTAAGCCCGCATATGTGGATTTGCTGAGCAGATACGGAAAAAACACGCCCAAACGCTGTGAAATCTTCGCGGCGATTGAAGTAAATTTCTGCCTCTGCTGGTCGCTCAACGGGTTGTTGTTGTTGTTGTACTTGTTTCTACAGTAGTTTTCTCTCTCGACTTGTTTGAGGGCCACTAGTAGTATGGCTATCTCGCTCTCTCCCAAACGCCAGCCGCCTTAGTAAAGTACTTTGCGCACACTCTCTCCCACACAAAGATCACTGAGAGAGATGAGAGAGCGAGAACAGTGGCCTCCCAATAAATTAGTCACGGACCATATGAGTCATTCCTACGGTGACGTTAGTCGTGGCAATCCACTGAGCACTGTGATTACAGAGAGAGAGAGCGAGTGGGAGGGGAAGGAGCGCTCTCTTTACTTGACCTTGCTTTGGTCTTTTTTGTAGAGTTTTCTATATTTGTTCGCCGATTTTCCACGAATTTCCCTGCCCTCGCCTGTTGTTTTGAGCCAATTTTCACTCAATAATTGACACCGCTTTCAGAGATGTGCAGTACCTGCTTATGTACTTACTTTCTTTATCTGGGTACAATAAATTCTTTGAGCCACACCAAAAATAATAAAGAACTTTAAAAACTGTTTATATATATTATTTATATATATATTTTTACATATATCTTATATGTAAATAACTTTTAACATTTTTAATATCAAAATCTTTGTGAATTTTATAAAATGAATAGGTTGTTGAAGGTTCAGATATTCCTATCTCTTAAAAATTGTTGTATTATTAAAAATTATTTGATCTTATTGTGCTGTTAAATAGTTTTTGCGATTCATCCAAACTTGATATGTTAACAAAAATCAACCCAATATAAAAATAGGGTTTGAACATAATAATAAAAAAAAATTAAATGATAATAAATAATAATAAATAATAAATTATATATATATAATTGTTTCGTCAAATTGCTTTCATTGTCTTTTACGTTACACCTACCTACTTGTACCAAATAGTGGATAAATAAATAACTTTTCCATCTCTAAAGGCGATGGCAAACGATATTTGCTACCGTTGACTATTTTAATGGACCACAAAAATGCGTGTGCTGGCAAAAACCAAAACCGAAGGAATAACAAACAAATAACAACGGCAAACAGCGTAAAATATCGACAGTAAAACCCGAAAAACCAAAAACAGAACCCAAACCGAATCCGGCGCATCCGCATTCAGCCAAAAACGATAGCTGAAAATTGTTGTATTTGTGTTTTGGTTTCCGCTTATGCCGCCTCCATCACTCCCCCTAGCTACGCCCTTTTTTGCATGGATTTTCGCATCGAAATGTTTAAAGCGCCGCCGGCAAATATTTTCGCGTTTAAGTTAATTTCTCGCACTGCTGATGTTGCTGCTGTAATTGGATAATTAAATAGGCGCCACAAAATTTGCTCTTCAGCAATCCAAATATCCAGCATGAATATGAATTTCAATAATATACATTTTCAAAAAGTTTTTAATGGAATTTATTGTTAAAAATCCTCAACAATTAAATCGCCAATGAAAGTCGTTCAAATGGAATAAATGTTTCTGTTTCTGTGTGGATGAATCATTCGATTTCGTATTCGATTTCAAGAGGGTGGGAGGCGCAAGGTTATCTACGGATCAGGGGCAATAAAAAGCGATGGGGGCATTTTAGAGAAGAATTTTCATATAAATTATCAAATTACACACTACTTGTTTGTGATATACTAATCACTATCTTTTGTGCATAATGAAGTTGAAAAGCGATAGGTGGATAAATTATTTCATATTTGTATGAAATCGTTTGGGGGATCCTGCAGTAACACAGAAAATCCAAAGCCCAAAACACCCAATAAAACTGCAAGTTTATGTAGTGTACCTATATTTTCCATTCCTGTTCTTCATAATTGTTCAGTTCATTTTGGCAGCAACTTGCTGGCTGCACCCATTTTCTGCTACTTTTTTGTCCTATGCGATTTGGCAATACCGCTCCGAATCTTTTTTGACTTTTGAGAGGTCTTCCAGAGACTGCGAGTTCTGGGCATCCGACGCACAATGGTTTGCTGGGCTGCTAGCACATCATTGTATAATTTTACAGTCGAGTTGGAGGATTGACCGAATCGGGCCGGTAGATAGGAGGCCTCCTCGAACAAGGACTTCTCCTGGGAATCTAGTGCCTGCCAAGCGTTTACGGCTTCCCCAATTAAGGTCTTCGCTGGTATTTCGTCATCATCGCATCCTAGGCGGTATTCCCTCAGAAAGTTGTACGGGGCACAGTGGCTGATAAACACTGGCGTCATGGAACCAGTGCACATTTCCTTGACCATGACAAAGCCAGGAATAGAACCAAATTTTGGACGAAAGAAAAACGGGACACCCAAATATTTTTGAACCGAAAGAGCTGGGATCGTTGTTTGGATAAAAATAAACACTTTAGCACTATTAACAATTCGTTAAGTCAACGCGAATCATATATGTGTATCGTAAGCAAGCAAGGATTTCTACTCGTTTTTCTATGAAATTATAAACACATACAATACGTCATTATTAAAATTTTTGAAAATAAAAACGTAAAATGTTTTTGGTATGGCCTGATTTGTAACTTATCACTTTTAGTTGGGGGTGTCTCAATCAGTGTACACGTGTCAGAATCAGTATAGAAACTGGTGGTTTTGATATACAGGCCCCAATGACACATCTCGAAATTAAATTCCCGACTACTTTGTCATAAAAATTTAATTTTTATAGTTCAAATATAAAATAGTTTATAAAAAATTCAAAATTAGATACCAATTTCAACATAAAATTAACAAAATTTATATAATTTCATGAAACACTATATCATTTAAAAATGAAGATAAAAAATTAAACGGTCTTCCAAAGAAAAGCAACAATAAGCCGCTTTGAATTAATCGGGTAATCGTTGGCATATTCAGGCCATTATTCGCATATCCTTATTACGACGTGTCCATTACAGAGTGGAAAATTGTGCAAATAATTAAAGCCAAAGAGCGATACGAATGACAGCGAGTGCAACAATTATTTGATTACTGTCGTCGGGACTGCCAGGACTTCCCTGTTCAGTTCCCTTTGCCACGTAATTGGCGGAGTGATATATGTATATGTACCCGGTACAGTGAACACCCACGCCCCCCAGTAATCGATCCAGAAATTCCATAGGAACAGCTTGCAGGTCATTATGCAGCGAGTTATTCATAATTGTTGTTGCTGCCAAGTGGCAGGAAAATGCATAACAAACTGAAAAATATTCAAGCCATTTTTATTGCCACACCAGGCGGATCGCACACCATATATAAACACACATACATGCGCGTATATATATTATGAGGACTGGCGATAATGAATGAATGCGCGCTAAAGAACCGCAGTCTGAACCGAAAAGAGCGAAATAAAACAAATACTGAAACTGCAACGGCGAGCAGAGGCTACAATAACAATAAATTTAACACTTTAACGGTTGTGCGAGAAGCGGCTACATGTAATATACCCAAATCGCATTAAATTATAACATTACAAACGAAACAAATTATCAAATTAAGTTAGAATGGTGCCAGTTTAAAATGTACAGCATACTTTTAGGCTGGCGTAATTGTGGATAGTTAGGATTATCTCACAATTAAAAAAAATTATGGTAAAAAATATTTAAATTGATATTAAATTTAAATAAAAACGAAACAAATTTATTAAGTTTAAGTGCCAAAAGAATAAATTTCGTAAATAAATTTGCTTGTTAAGTGCCAGTTTCTTAAAAATGTTTGAGTTTATGCTTCTTTAAAACATCATCAGTCTCCAAAGTGACTAGGGAAATGTACATTGGCTTGAGCCTTTATCCAATTAAGGTGATCGCTGGTACGTATGTGTATCGATGGGTGTTCACCCTTACAATTTGCAGGCATAAGATGAATAACCCCGACGAATGTGGGTCTGCCGTCCAGTGTGACTACTGGTCCGCCGATGTCCCCCTCGCAAACGCCTTTATTGCCGGCTCCGGAGGTGCAGACATTAAAAGATTCCACTTGGGGATAACTCTTGGCGCACTCAGTGTTTGATATAATTTTCACTTGAATGCAATTCAGCCAATTTTCAATTTTTGAATTCTTACTTGTTTTTCCCCAACCGCATACCAAGGTCAAATTTCCTGTCCAGCGGTAATCTCGTATCATCAAATTTGGAACTAGTGCCCGGTGCAATCGTCTGTCAAACTTCATATACGGACATTTAAGCAATCCAAGATCGTGCTTTTTGTTTGGGTGGATGTAATAGTTTTCACTGTAGACCCTGAAAATTTTCCATCCCCACCATGGTCTTCGTGAGCCGGTGTGGACCTCAACAAACTCATACTTGAGAAGTGACCCGACTGTGAGGACCCATTGATTCGAAATCACTGTACCGGCCCCAAATTCAATTGCAGAGGTATAACTTTCTGCGACGAGGATTCCAACCATGTAAATCACTGTAAAGGGTTGGGCATTATAGCCGCCGTAGATTCTAGGCTTAGCCTTCTTTTCTTCCGCACTGACAAAAACTAGTGATGTTAAAACTAGCAACATAAGGACGATCTTCATCGCTAAGCAATATGTTCTTTCTTATACTTAACTGAAAACCTACGAATACTAACTAAATAAATTTCTAATTCTTTTAAGCTCTTAAAAACAACTCATCTGTGTCAAAACAATTTATTTTGGCTTTAACGGATGACCGATACAATTTTCACGGATTAAAATTTAGCATCTTAGGTATTTCTCACATTGCACCGTTTGTTGCAGTTAGTCTTAAGTTTAAATTTAGACAGAAGTTTAAATTAACTTAAGAATTTTCCAATTAAATTTATCATATTGTTCAAGTGTAGAAAAAAAATCTCGTTTTTAATTTAATTCGTTTTCAATACAAGGTTCTGTCAGCAATTACATTTTTGTTTTGCAATGATCAACATGTGAATACCCGCAGAGTTGCTAACTTGGAAATTTAAAGTAGGAATTTCTTGACGATTTAATTGTTTAAATGCATTTCCGATTTTCCCGTTTCACTTTATTCGTTTGTAAATTTAATTTATTTAATGAGCAGCGCAATAAAACGCATTTACTGTCAAGTGATAAAATGGTATTCCAGCCCAATGTTTTCTTTTTTTTTTCCGCCACCTCCTGGCATATTTTTCATTTATGTATATGTGGTCCACATGTCAGTAGCATTTTCCTCCCATTTCCACAGCCTGTTGACATGCAGCAATTATTAACTTTTGTGCGGCTGCTGCCATGGCGCCGTGTGTTTGTTATTAATTTCTTGTTATTTATGCAAATAGTTGGCACTTAATACGCCTGTAAATACATTTAAATATTTGTTTCTTTTTTTTTCACTCACTCTTTTGCAAATCGCTTTGTGTATTACGATAAATTAACAGCAAACACAATGCAAAAATGATCGGGTGGTGACACGTTCTCCGCTTATCGAAAATGTCGAGTTCTTTAACGGAATTTTAAACTCTTCAGTACAAAGTATGAATTTCATACAACGGTCTGGTCTGGTCCGAGTTCCATAAACTCCGCAGAGTTATCGCCAGCAGACGTGAAGTCATCTCTGGGCACACGATGATGCACTCAGAAAAATACCCCGTTTTGTTTTCCTTAAAAAAAAGTATACACAATTTAAATTTTCAGAAATTATTTGGATTTAATTGGTTAGATTAGCCCCGATTATTAGATACCCGAAACTCGGTTTGCAAATTTTATTATAAAGCTGCCCCCTAAAAATAATCGGCTTTTAACATCTGGTAGAAAATATTAAAAACTTAAACATTTATGGTTTGATTTAATATTTTTAAAATTGAAAACCCTGTAACTTCGTATTGTAATATTCAGAACTTTTAAGTTTATGATTGGAAATCATTTTTTATAATTTTGAGTACAAAATCTATGTGTTAAAGATGAGTAGATAATAAAAACTAAAAATTCATTGTCGAATTTAGACACTACTATTTTCTTACGTATATACGGATAAGATTTTCGCAGTGCATGCATATGCAATCCACGCTCTACGGATCGGATTCTGTTGGGGGTCACGTCTGCGGGTCTGCCATATCCTGGACCGACTTCGTCCTGTGTGACTGCTTATGAATAAAGTTGTTTGCTGGCTTGTCAATACACACATGGCATCATCATCATTCCTCCTCCATGTTGGCCTTCCTTGCCCCCTTTCAATTGGGGTTATTTGTCGCTCTATCTGGCCCGGATCGGTGGGTGTGAACCCTCTTTTGTTGACTTTTCGGCTTTCAATGGGCCACGACGTCTATTCATTTTTTGTGCTGCGCTATTAGGGTTGCCATCAACACCACCCCATTCGCTCCGAGCAATTTGAAATGAAAAGTTGTCTGCCATATAAACATATGTACGGATGGAAAATGAAAACACAAGATGATACGAGGTAGGCAGTAAATAGCAACAGGCGTGGTGACGAAATGTGTCCTTTGACATTTGATCGCTCGCCTCCGATAATCCTGACAGCATCGCATCGTTGGCTCTTCAACAACTTCAACAACTTCGCCAGCTTAATGGCTTGCTGCATTATTTATAGCACGTCGAGGCCCCATCAAAACGCTTTAACACGAGCCGTCTGATGGGAAAAATGGAAGAGAAAAATACTTGGAAAAGAAGCACCGAAATGTAGTCCACCGAGTCGTTGACTTTAAGCCGTAGACAATGCGGGGCATTAGGCATCCCGATCCTGAGCGGATGCAGCTAAAGTAATTAAGCACTTTGACAGGAGAGTCCATAGACTGGGCTGAATAGTACGCACATCAAATAGTTTATTCTGTTCACTTAACAAGTTACTGAGTTTCCTACAAAGGAATTAAATCTGAATCAAACTAAAACACCTCTTGACTAGTGCTTGAACTTTTTTAAACCGAATTTTTTTTTCAATTTTGTGACGAAAAGTAAGTAATTATAAACGATTTTGTGTTTACATATTTAAAGGGAAACAATAATATGTTTTTCGTCAGAAATGTTGGTGTAAGAGTTATGGGAAGCTGCTATCGTTACTAGTTTCTTTACCTTATCAAGTGGTGTTTGATTTATATTTAGTTGTATTAAGTTAAATAAAAATGTATCTGAGAGGCCCTTATAAATTTAGTTTAGTCGGAAGGGCTACCAATTTTTAAGAGCATTTTATATCCGACCTTTCCGGACTCCAAATGCTTTTTCCACACTCAATTATAAAGTTCAGCTCACATGTGCCCACAAGAAGGTTCCCATTGGTGGCATCCTGAAGTTTAGCCGGCGACGACTTTTACTTACTCACTTGCCACGAAGCCTCTTAATTTACTTTTGCGCTCAGGCGTCTGGAAAATAAAAGTGCAAACGGTGGCAGCCTTTGTCCTGCGCCTAAAAAGGCTGCAGGACTCCAGAGGGGAAGGAAGAAACGGAATGGAATGGGCGAACGAGAGAACTACGGCAATTTCTGCACATTTTCTAGCGTTTGAACTTGGACTGTCGACTCCCTCCGTAGTGCAGTTAATTATAATTAAGCCGAGTTAACTAACCACTTGCTGGCTCTCGAGGAGTTCTACTGCCACAGGATTACGCAGTCACCTAAAATACGTCAGCTGCTGTTATTGTTGTTGTTATATTAATTAAAGTTGCGTTCATTAATATGCCGACAGCACCGAAATGTAGGCCACCGAAACTGTTGCATATTCAAACGTTTATTCAATACGACTTCACTAGGGATTGTTACTCCTTATGGTTGTTGCTATTGTTTGCGGATATTCACAATGACGAACATCAGACTTCAAGGAAGCTGTTATACCATTGCACAGAAAGAATATCAGCATGGCTATGAATGTGTTCGTCACATATAAAAATAAAATATATTTAATTATATCGCTTAAAAAAATAAATACTAAAGAGAATTCCTGTATGTCCTTTAATAATCCTAAAGATAAACATTTAATTTACAACTATATTAATCTAATATTCTTACAATTATTTTTAATCTATTTATGTAAAAAAAAATGACTGAACACTATATTATTTTTTAGAAACATTTGTTAAATCTTAAGGTTTAAACGCAGTTATCTCTTGCTATGTTGCACTGTAATATCTGCAGACATCTGTTAGTAGACTAGAGTTTTAGTGAAAAGAAATTTATTTGTTTAATTTCAAACTTATCAACTTGACACATCTGCTGGTTTTGTTTTCTGTGCATTTGCCAGCGGCGTTGTTCTTCATTTGCAAGGACAATGCGACACAAAAATGGAAACCGTTGAATGAGTGAATGAATGCCTGAATGGTGAATGAATGAAAACCAGACAGAAGACTGGCAGGCAGGAATGCCATTATAATAAATAAAGAGCCTTTCACTCATAACTGGCGCACAATGCAGCCAAAGCCATGAATATCCCAACTCCTGGTGACTCCTTTTCTGGTTCCTCCGTTTGATTTATGCCAAACAATGCGAAAACGCTTTTAATAAAGCTGATGGGAAAAGCTGTAGATACCGATCAATGAATATTTACCAACTGTATGCAGCTGCAGGCAAAATAATATACATACTTCTTCCGTATGTCGATTTCTAAATGTTTAAGATACAAAATTGGCATAGGGCTTTGAGACTATTTAAACAGTTAATACAAATTTTCTAGTAATTGTCCCTTTTAGTATTCACAAAAATGCAAGTACACGATTTCAAAATATTTAAGAAGAGAGAAGTAAAAGTCTTGTAATTACCTGTTAGATTTAATAACCAAACACATTTATTTTCAATAGAAAGAGTATCAGACTACCAAGTTCCCTAAAGACATAAAAACTTTCTGCTTTGTTTTTTCATATCACGTGAGTTTTTAATTTTTCTACATTCTTGTAGCTATATTCCCCTTATATTAGATTCAAATTGAAGCGCCAAAAGCTTTCACAATTAACACCAACTGGCGCGCCCATAAATCCGCAATAAATTCTATTGGGGTGGGGATTGCATAAAAATCACATTAACAATTTGCTAGTACACGAGTATTTTATTTTTATGGCTGCATGTTTTATTTTTATTTCATGCACGTCTTTTGTACATTTTAATGCCCTTTATCACCCACATCCTCACACGCACACTATGCAAAGGAGCCACACACGCACACACATTCAACACACATGGTGCCACAATGGTGGTGGTGGTGCTGTTGGTGGGTGGGAGTGAGAGGGGCAGAGTGTCAGACAAGGAGGCACTGCACTGTTGCCATCGAAAGCGCAATAAAAACGCTTAATTTTTCACTTTTACACGAGCGAGAACAAAGTTTCTTTGTTGTTGTTGTTGCTTCTCCACCCCCACCCCCTTTTTATTCCTTTGCCTCCGTTTTCAAAGGAAGGATAATAGGTGTGAAACTGGGCGAGTCCTTGTATGCGTGAGCCATTTAAAAGTTATTTAATTTAATAACAAGCACAAAACATGTTACCAGTAAAAGCAAACGAACATAAATATGAAGAGAAAATTGGGGATGAAGCTCATAAAAAACGAGAGGAAATATCTGTAAGCATCAGGGAAATGGCAGAATGTATATCGCTTTCAAATTATTTAGTGCTCACAAAATTTACAAATATTTACAAATATTATAA